GCGTGATCTGCCCGATTTCCCGGTTGCCCACGAAGGAACGCGTCACCTTGTGCACCCGCTCGCCTGCCCGCACCCGGATGATGAAGTTGGGGGGGAAATACCCGACTTTCTCCCCGATCTTCCCCTGCAGGGAGTGCAAGGGGGGATTGGGGCCGGTGCGGGGGTCCCAGAGCCTCCCCCTCGCCAGGTTGGGGGGTCACAGCAGGTTTGGGTGCCCCCCTGGCAGAGCTTTCCCAGCCTCACCCGCCACCACTCCTCGTTGGAGTCATCGACCACCGTGATCTTCTCCCCCGGCCTGGAAGGGAAGGAGTGGGGGTCTCTGAGGGGGGGCAGACCCCAAGGAAATCCTCTTTTCCTTCAGAATCAGCTGCTCCAGCCCCGTGCCTGGCACGGGACACGCAGCCCAGGGGCTCAGGGACAGGCAGGTCCTGCCCAGGGCAGCTCAGCCTCGGGAAATCCACGGAAATCTCGGGAAATCCTCGGGAAATCCACGGAACCACATGGAGCCAAACCCCAAAAAAACTTCGGGAAAGAGCCCAGGACGAGCTGGGAACTCACGGGAAGTCCAGGTCGTCCTTCTCCAGGGCTTTGAAGCGATAAAGTGCCACGAAATAGTGGGACTGCAGGAACCCCCCTGGCTGTGGCTTCTTGCTCTGGGGGGCACAGTGGGGTTTGCAGACAGCCCTGGGGCTCCCAGCACGGAGATCCCACGGGCTCTGCTCGAGGTTTTGGGGTGCAGGGCGAGGACGAGGGGTACCTTGTCATCTGCTGGGCTCTTCTCAGCCTTCTTGTCCCCCTCGGCGGCACCTGGGAAGGGGAGGAGGGGTCACACCTCTGCCAGGGGTGCCTCCCGAGGGTCTCCTCAGCCGACGTGGGGATGCAGCGAGAGCCCCGCGGCGGGGACACGAACTCTCTCTGCACCCTGGTGACCCCCCCCAAACGCAGCCAGGGGGTCCCTCCGTGTCCCCGTGGGCTCAGCCCCCCAACCCTCGGCGCTCACCACCCTCAGCTTTGCTCCCCACCGGCTTCGTGGCCTCCGACTCCTCGTCCATCATCGCAGCCAAGGGCTGGAAGGCAGAGAGGGCTCTCAGAACGTGAGAAATTCTCAGAACGTGCAGAATTTGGGGGGCTGGGGGGGTCACTGGGAATTTGGTGACAGCCCCACCCCTCGCTCACGTTCTTCTTGTCGTCCTGGCCCTTCTTGCGCTCCTTGTTGGCCATGATCACTCCGGTCCGCAGCGTCTCGAACACGGGGTCGCTCCTGTTTGCTGCGGGGGCAGGGGAGGCTCAGGGGGGGTGTCAGGGGTGGGGACACCCCCAGGTGGGGACAAAAGGGACAGGGGGGGCTCACCGAGCTGGTCCTTGGTGCCGGCGTACTGCTGGTCGCTGTAGAGGGGGGAGCTGTACGCCCGCCGGAACCCGGGAGGCTGCGAGGACAGAGGGGGGGTCTCAGCATCAGCCACCCCCCAGAGCCACCTGTCACAGCTGGGGGGACCCCCAGAGGGACATGGGGGTCCCCTTCAGAGGCAGGGAATGGCCAGGGGGGGTGGCACCCGCGTCCTGCCGGGGGTGGCCGAGCTGGGGGCTGGAGGGGGGGGCGGCACTCACGATCTTGCCGAAGCAGCGCTGCATCTCCACGTAGGACTGGCAGTGGTGGTGGATGTTGGTTTTGCAGTTCTTGCACCTCAGGCCAAATTTGTTGTTGACTGGCAGCGGCGGGGTGGTGGGAAGGAGAGGGAATGTGACACTGCGGCTGTGAACAGCCCCGGGCAGCCTTGGCCCCCAGCCCCAGCCCTGCCCACGACCCCCAGCCCCCCCTCAGCACTCACGGACGATCATGCGGGCACAAACATCGCAAAATTTGGGCTTTTTGAAGTAATGGTCTTTGAATTTGTGGGGTTTGTCGTTAACGAGTTTCTCCGGTTCGGGAGGGGGCTCGGGCTCCTCCTCCTCTTCCTCCTCTTCGTCATCCTCATAGATGTAATAGATGGGTCCCCCCGAGGGGCTGACCAGCTCCCCGTTGGGCTGTGGCTCCTGCGCCGGCTCCTCTTTGGGTTTTCGCTGGAAAAGTTGCTTCAGCTTCTGCAGCTGCGGGGGCAGGAGGGGGGCGGCCGGTGTGTGGCAGTGCGGGGAGGAAGGAGGGCAGACACCCCGTGCCCAGCTCCTCGCCCCCGTGACCCCCTCCACGAGCGGGAGGAGACTCCAGGAACGCTCTGAAGATGGGGATCCTCCTCCCAGTCCCGTGAAGTCTCCACAAAAAAATGGAAGCTGTGGCTCCTGAGCACCCTGGGCACGCCAGGGAAATGCCAAGCTGGGAAATGCCCACCCAACACCCGGCTGGATCAGGGTCCCACCAGGCACCCCCGGCCTCCCAAATCCTCCTGGGGCTGCGGCAGGGTGATGATAGAGAGGGGGGCTTCGCCCACCCACCCAAACTGCCCCGTGGGCACCCACTTACCCGGCTCTTGGGTTTCCCACCTGAAGCAGGTGAAGCCGGCGGCTCTGGCACTTCCTTCTCTGTCATGCTGCAAGGGGGAGAGCAGGGGTGGCGTTGGCTGGGGCAGTTCCAGCTGCCCCGGTGGTCAGACCGTGCTGGGTGGGCAGTGCCACCCCTTCCTGTCCTGGCAAGGGCTGGTTCTGCCAGGGGTAACCCCGGGTTCACTCCCAGGGCTGGTTCTGCCAGGGGTAACCCCGGGTTCACCCCCAGGGCTGGTTCTGCCAGGGAAAACTCCGGGTTCACCCCCAGGGCTGGTTCTGCCAGGGGTAACCCCGGGTTCACCCCCAGGGCTGGTTCTGCCAGGGGAAACCCCGGGTTCAATCCCAGGGCTGGTTCTGCCAGGGGTAACCCCGGGTTCACTCCCAGGGCTGGTTCTGCCAGGGAAAACTCCGGGTTCACCCCCAGGGCTGGTTCTGCCAGGGGTAACCCCGGGTTCACTCCCAGGGCTGGTTCTGCCAGGGAAAACTCCGGGTTCACTCCCAGGGCTGGTTCTGCCAGGGAAAACTCCGGGTTCATTCCCTCTGCCCATCCTGCAGCCCCTGCCAGGGCTGGTTGTGCCTCGGTGAGCCCCAGGGCCAGGCTGGAGGTCGGTGCCCAGCCCAGAGCGTGGCACATCCCTGGCCAAGCCCTGTGAGCCAGCCCCTGGGCCACCTGCACGTGCCCACCTTAGCCCGGGCATCGCCACCTCACCGTGAAGCCACAAACGGTGCCACTCAGGTGGGGACACTGATGGGCATCGTCTGGATTTGGGCTGGACCTGCTCCTGCATCCCCCAAACCATCCCGGTGCCACCCTGGACAGCCCTCCCCGCAGGGCTTCCACCCAGACCTCCCTGGCTTTGGTGATACCCACCCCAGCCAGGAAAAGCAGGGAGGAAAACCATCAGGAAAACCATCAGGAAAAGAAGTCAGGAAAACCATCAGGAAAAGCAGTCAGGAAAAGCAGTCAGGAAAAACAGTCAGGAAAATTACTCAGGAAAAGCAGCCAGGAAAACCAGTGAGGAAAACCAGTCAGGAAAAGCAGCCAGGAAACCATCAGGAAAAGCATCAAGAAAACCAGCCAGGAAACACAGTCAGGAAAACCAGCCAGGGAAACTAGTCAGGAAAACCAGGCAGGAAATTCAGCCAGGAAAACCACCAGGAAAACCATCGGGAAAACCAGTCAGGAAAATTACTCAGGAAAAGCAGTCAGGAAAACCAGTGAGCAAAACCAGTCAGGAAATTCAGCCAGGAAACCATGAGGAAAACCATCAGGAAACCATCGGGAAAACCAGTCAGGAAAAGCAGTCAGGAAAAGCAGCCAGGAAAACGAGTCAGGAAAAGCATCAGGGGATGGGAACGGGGAGCGCTGGGGCGAGGGGCCCTGCAGGACCGGGGCACCCCGAGGCCCTGCAGCCCCGGGGGGGCCCAGGGTGGGCACGAGCACGGCAGGAGGGGCACACAGGGGGCACTCACCCTGTGCTCGGCGCTGTCACCCCGCGCTGGAGGAGCCCCCGGAGCGCGGCCGGTGCCGGGGCCCCGATGGCCGCAGACCCCCAGCCCTGGCTGGCGGGGGCAGGGCGGCGGTGCGGTGGCCGCCGGAGTGACAGGGCAGAGGGGGACGACAGCTGAGCCGTGCCGGGGGCTGACGCCGGGAAATTGGAGCCCCAGCGTGCGCCGGGAGGGAGCAGGCGGAGGAGCCGCCGGCTATTTGCGTTGGTGGGTTGCTGGGCGTGCCAGGGGCCCCCCCAGCCTGGCCCGGGGTAAAGAAGGAACCGGGCACAGCCAGGGCTCCAGGAACTGGGCACACGGAGGGTTCCAGGAGCTGGGCACGCCAAAGGCTCCAGCTGCAGTGTCTGCTTTGCTGGTGCATTGGAGGCTGCTGCGGGTTCAGCGGGCACAGGGGCAGCAGTGGGGTCTGGCATTGCACCTCCTGGCACCAAATCCTGCTGGTGCAGGCTCTGCTGGGGTGCCAGGAGCTGCGATCCCACTGCTGCCAGGCTGCTGTGGACAGGGACACGGCCCTGAGGTCCCTGCCTGGCTGTGGGTGGCACTGAGGTGGCAGCTGGCACCGAGCTGAGCTGGAGCCCCCCTTCCTGGCAGCTCTTACCTGTCCGGCTGCACCTGCTCAGGAAGGCTGGGAGCATCCTGCTACTGCCAGAGGATTTGTGCACCCCAAATCCTGTCCCCACCTGGCCCTGCCAGCTCCAGGTGCTGCTGCTGTCAGCAGGAATGTGGTGATTCCTGGCAGGGCACTCCATGCCCTCATTCCTGCCCTGGAATTCCACAGCTGGATGGGGCTGGCAGCTGGAGAAGAGGCCGTGAACATCTGTCAGGGGAGTTCAGCCCTGATCCAAATGCTCTGATCCCAGCCTGGGATCCCCATGCTGGCACACCACAGGATCACCCCCCTGCCAGTGTCCCCTCTGCTGTCCCCTCACCCCAGTGAGGCAGCACAGAGCCCCGACACTGGCAGAGAACAGGAAGTTACGTTCAAGTGATGGACAATTTTCCTCTTTTTTTTATTTAAAAACAACCCCCCAAATAAAATAAAACAAAAAAAAAATCCCCCCTCCCTCCCCACCCCCAGCAAAATAATAATTTGATTAAATAAAATGTGCAGTGAACATACCAATCAACACCTGTATGTGCGGTCCAACACAGTGCTCAAACAAAACCATAGACACAGGGGAGGGGGGCGGGCACGGGCGTCACTCCAAAAAAATAATAATTAAAAAAAAAAAAATCAACTTCTTGTCTCTTAATTATGTTCATATAAATATATCAAGGAAGGAGGGCGAGAGGAAGGGAGGGTGGGAGGAGAAGAGGCCCAGGGGAGTGCCCGGTGCCCACTCGGGAGCCCTACTGGGAGCTGGCCCGCTCCAGCACCCGCAGGTCGTAGTTCTTTTTGGCCACGCGCAGTTTGAAGCGGCTGAGGGAGTTGTTGAGTCGGAGGGAGGCGTTTTGGGCAGCCAGGGGGCTGGGGAACACGGCCACGATGGTGTATAAGGCAGCGAGGTCACTGTGCCTGCCGTTCTCCGGAGTCCCGCTGTTGTCCCCGCCGCCGCCTCCGTCCCCGCGGCGCCCCTGAGTCTCTTTGAGCCACTGGATTTTGGCACCGGCCATGGCGAGCTGGGTGAAGAGCTTGTCGGCCTCTGTCCGTGTGATGCCCTCGGGCAGGTCTGTCACCTCCAGCACCCGGCCCAGCACTGCAGGGAAGGAGCTGCGTGTCACCGGGTGCCACCGGGCTGGAGCTGCCACCTCTCCTGGGCACAGGAACCAAGCTGCTCCCAGCAGGAATCTATTCTTTTATAAAGCCACCCAATCTATTCTTTGAAGCCACTCAATCTATTCTTTGAAGCCACTCAATCTATTCTTTAAAGCCACCCAATCTATTCTGTGAAGCCACCCAATCTATTATTTTAAGCCAGTTCACCAAGCAGCTCCCTGGAGGAATCTATTCTTTTATAAAGCTACCCAATCTATTCTTTAAAGCCACCCAATCTATTCTTTGAAGCCACCCAATCTATTATTTTAAGCCAGTTATTCTTTCAAGCCTTCCAAAGCAGCCCTACCTGCTCCCAGGAATGCCCCATCCCAACTCCCCCCGTGCCCACAATGTTGGTTTTGCTTCAGGAGGAGATGTGGGTATTCCCACAGCTACAGGGACACCAAGTCCTCCTGGTGTGCTTTGGATAGTTCAGGCTTTCCCAGGGGCTCTGTGCTGGTTTTCTACCCCAAATCTTCAGCTGGCAGGACTGGGAGCCAACCCCACGCTGCCACCCTGACCCTGGCAGGGAGAATGGCTGCACCCATGGAGGGTGGTGGCACTGGGTGTGTCCTGCACGAAAATGCCTCTGCAGCTCCTGGTTCCTGCCCTGTGGCACCCAAATCCCTCTGCAGCTCCTGGCTCTCACCTTTGTCCCTGCCCCACGGCCTCCAAATCCCTCTGCAGTTCCTGGCTCCAGTTCCTGCCCAGTGGTCCCCAAATCCCTCTGCAGCTCCAGCCCCTGCCCTTGGTACCCAAATCCCTCTGCAGCTCCTGGCTCTCCCCTATCCCTGTCCTGTGGTCCCCAAATCTCTCATCAGCTCCTGGCTGTGAGCTCTACCCTGTGATACCCAAATTTCTCTGCAGCTCCTGGTTTTGACCTCTGCCCCTGCCCTGTGGTACCCAAATCTCTTTGCAGTTCCCAGCTCTAGCCCTGCCCTTGGTACCCAAATCCCTCTGCAGCTGCTGGCTCTGAGCTCTACCCTGTGATACCCAAATTTCTCTGCAGCTCCAGCCCCTGCCCTTGGTCCCCAAATCCCTCTGCAGCTGCAGCCCCTGCCCTTGGTCCCCAAATCCCTCTGCAGCTCCTGGCTCCAGCCCTGGCCCGGGCTTAGCAGAGCTGCTGGAGGATTCTTTGCTAATATTAACGTGGCACGTAGGGACCATGCCAGGGGCAGAGGGGGAGGCAGCTCTTAAAGGGCCCCTGCAGGCAGCTGCGGGTGGTGACACTGAGGTGACATGGGGGACAAGCCTCCAGAGGGTCAGTGAGGGCTGCCCCCTCCAAGCTGTGTGTCCCTCCCTTTTCAAGGACCCAGTGGAGATGCTCTGGACACGGGTGGAAAGGATTCACTGGAACCCTCAGCCCTCACAGCCACGCAGAGATCCCAAATCTCAAAGATGAGGCTCTGGAGCTGCAGGCCCCATGGGAAAGGGAAGCAGGGGTGGGAAGAGTGACTTGGGAGAGCAGTGGTGGGAGGGAGATCTCAGAGTTTGGACACTCACTTTCTGCTGAGAAAGAGGAATAAAATCCCAGCTCTGCCAGCTCCATCATCTCCACCCTCTGAGAGGCAGGAACAGCACCCAGGTGTCCTCTGAGGTTTGACTCCCTGTTCACCCACCTCCCTCAGGGCACAGCGGGCTGGGGCTGGATCTGCTGCACCCCCAGCCTGCACCCACCTGGGCTGGGGGGTGTTTGTGGGTGTGGGGAGAAGGGACTGGCAGGAATCACCCTCCAAAACCAGCACAGGGTTCTGTGGGATGCTGGTGTGGGCAGGGATGGCACCCGGAGTCTCCAACACAGAGTTCTGTGGGATGCTGGTGTGGGCAGGGATGGCACCTGGAGTCTCCAACATCCATTTGTGAGGGCATCAGAGGGCAAAAAGAGGCTGGAGGGGGTCACTTGCCTACGTCACTTGTCCCCAGGTCGGTGGACGCTGACTTCAGGGCCTGCCTCTTGCTGCGGTTCCCGTGTTTCATTCCAGTCTGCCCCTTGAAGGACACAAAGGGCACCGTGTCACCTCAGGGGACACGGTGCCTTCGTGGTGCCCACAGAGGGGCTGGGGAAGGGCCTGGCTGTACCTGGTGTCCTGTGTAGCTGGGCTGGTTGTGGAGCAGAGGCGGGGGACACAGGGACAGGTTGTACTGCAGAGGTTGGCCCAGCAGCGAGTACCTCCCATCACCTGCACAAGGAGCCCGAGTTTGTGGGGATCCCAGGAAAAATCCCACATTCCCAGCCCTGGGCTGTCCCCACAGGGCTCTCCCTTACCTTGTGCTGGGCCCATGGGCCTGGGGAACTGTGTGAGGACGGGCAGGGGGCTCAGCCCCGTGCACACGCTGTTGAGGTTGGTGACGGGCGACGGCGTCGGGGACTGCGTGGGGGACGTGATGGGGCTGCTCAGCTGGGTGCTGGCCTGGGGGAGGGACAGCGTCAGACACCCCCAGGGCTGGTGACCCCCACACCATCACCCAGCCCACCCCAAAGGCTGAGCTGCCTCCTCCCAGTCCCTCCCAGTACCTGAGCACTGGTGTCGGGGTTGTAGAGGTCTCCTGGCTTCTGCCCCCGCTGCTCCAGGCTGTAGTACTTACAGTGGCTCCACTGCACCACGGGGGGGTTCTGGGGGGCCTGGGGGCCGTTGGGGACATTCAGCTGCATCACCACCACACCAGGGCCTGATGGGGACACCCCTGGGGACAGACATAGGTGTGAAAGGCTGTGCTGCTGTGGGACACAGGGCACCTGCCCGACCCTGCCACTGCACACCCTTCCCCACAATCCCATTCTGGACTCTCCTCTGCCACTCATGATTTTTCCACGCTGGAAAAACCCCACCAGGACCCTCTGGGGACTCCTCTCTAATAGCAAAGGTTACATCTGGTGGTGATGATGTTTAACCCAGGAGAAAGGGGAGCACAGGGGCCAAGCTGAGGGATGGCAGCTCAGTGACTGCTCTGAACATCTCCACAAAACTCCAGCAAAGGATCCAAGCATGGATCCAGCTACCCTCCATCATCCCAGCTCAGATCCTGCTCCAGCTCACTCCCAGCAGCTGTGACAGGCAGCAGGAACCCCCAGCCTCCCCACCCACAGTTCTTTCCCCCCCTCACCAACCCACAGCCCACCCATCTCCCTCCACCCCCTGCCCACCCCGGCAGGGAGATTCCAGTGCAACATCCTGATCATGCCCAGCCTGAGGAACCCCCCTGCCCTGGAGCTGCCAGGCTTGGCTGTGAGGTGATCCAAAGGCTGATGCCAGCTCGGGAGTCGATGCCAGCCTTGCCCCTGGTACCTGAATACTGCTGCTGCATCTGGGGGGGGCTGCAGGGCGCCGGGGACTGCGGCATCTGGTACTGCTCGGAGCCAGGGGGCTGCAGGAACCCCACGGACGGGCTGTGGAGCACAGAGGGCTCAGGTGAGGATGGGGATGGGAGGAAGAGCTGGGGCACCTGCACAGGTTATTCCCGGCTCTTATTGGCACTGCTTTTAGTGAAAGGATGGGATTATTTTTGGGCTAAGGATGATTTATTGCCCGGATAAACATCAGCCTCAGAGGCTGGGAGGTTTTAGAGGAGGAAGTTTTTGGTCATAGCTCAGAGTAGTCACAAGTTTCTTTGTTACAAGGTAATACAGAACTTTCTAACTTAATAGACAGTTGCTACAGGGTTTATTTTGTTTTTCTAACCTATCACCTTTACTCACTCCTGGTGCACTGTGGATTCTTTTGTCTAATGGGCTTCTAGCTCACATTCACACAGATGCTTCTGTTATAACTTTTAAACTTTTGGTTTATTCTATACAACCACACCCCTACATTATAAACCCTCCACCACTTTATCAATGCACTTTCCTACATTATAAACCCTTCACCACTTTATCAATGCAGTTTCTTACATCATAAACCCCTCACCACCTTATCAATACAGTTTCTTACATTAAAAACCCCTTACCACCTTATCAATACAGTTTCCTACATTATAAACCCTTCACCACTTTATCAATGCAATTTCTCACTTATTTAAGGCATATTCTTACTTAGAATAGAACCACAGAAACATAAATTTATGATTTTCCTCCTCAATGTCTGGGTGTTGTATTTTTACACCAATCCCAGCTTCTCCCAAGGCTGCAGATCAAACCCTGCTGTGTCTGTGGAAGTTTCTGTTTTTCTGATTCCCACAGCCAGCTCTGTCTTTTCTGGGATGGCTGGGCACACAGGAGAGGGCTGGGCACACAGGACAGGGCTGGGCACACAGGACAGGGGAAACAACCCCAGATTTAACATTTAGGGAATTAAATCCTGCTTCTATCCCCACCTCCTGCTGAAGAGTGGGGAAAGGGCTTCTCTTAAAGCAGAAGCAAACACTTCCAAGGGAAGTTCCTGGCTTTAAATTCCCCTGGCAGCCCCTCAGTGGGGTTAAATCCATCTCATCCCCTCAGAGGGAGCTCAGAGGAGAGGGAGGAGAAGAACACATCCCAACTTCCCAACCCAGAGTGGGAGATGGGCAAGAGCAGCCTTGGTATGTTTGCTGCTGGTTGTAAACCTGCCTGAACAGGGTTTCAAAGGAATAATTTCCCAGCTGGACACGGGAAACAACCCCAGATTTAACATTTAGGGAGCCCCTCAGTGGGGTTAAATCCATCTCATCCCCTCCCCAGGGAGCTCAGAGGAGAGGGAGGGGAAGGACACATCCCAACTTCCCAACCCAGAGTGGGAGACGGGCAAGAACAACCCGGCCCCAAACAGCCCAGGGGAGATCTCTGGAGCCAACAAAAGCAGCAGCAAAGGGAAAGCTGCCCCCTTGCCCCCTGTCACCCCTTACCTGGCTGCTGGGACTGCTGGGGGAGCTGCTGTGGGCGCTGGGAGCTGTAGGCCACTGGGTGACTGAGGGGTCGGTATTGCTGGCTGGAGTTCGGGTACTGCCCGGGCGGGTAGTAAGAAACCTGAATCTGGCAGGGACAAGAAAACCCATGGTGAGAACACAGGAGGGAGCAGGACCAGGAAAGCTGGTCCCTCAGAACCTGTTTTCCCTCTCACCTGGCCTGGTTTCTGCTGAAGGGAAGCAGGCAGGGCTTTGGCTCCTCGGGGAACCTTCCCAAGCCTGTCCCAGCACAACTCTCCTCACAGCTCAGGGGACAATCCCAGAGGTCATAAAACCCTGCAGGACCCCAAAGAGAGCTCAGAGGTGTCAGCCCTGAGTCCATCCCCACTGCTGAGAGCCACGAGTGGCCCGGGGGTGCCAGGAAGGAGCCTCGTGGGCTCAGAGGGACACGGGGATCATCCTGTGCCTCACAGGGGGTGTGAGACCCCCAGGCTGGACCCCTGTGGGGGGATCCATCACCAAAGAGCAGCAGAAAAAGAGGGACCCACTCCCCAGCAGCCCCTGGCCTGCCAGCTCTGGGGATGTCTGTTACCATCACATTTTCTGAAAAAATCTCTTTGCCCAGGATTCTTCTCCTGGGAAGCTGAGAAGCTTCAGGGAAAAAAATGAAAACAATAATTATCTGATTTGCTTCTCCTGTGTTTTGCTGCTTTGGACATTTTTTTTACCAACAGGTGCATGTTTAATTAGTTTCATGTCAATTGTTTTGACTTAATAACCAATCACAGTCAGGTTGTGTCAGGACTCTGGAAGGAATCAGGAACTTTTCATTATCATTCTTTGTAGCTTTCTATCTGTAAACTTTAGTAAAATTTAGTATGGCATTCTTGAATATAATATAATATAATATAATATAATATAATATAATATAATATAATATAATATAATATAATATAATATAATATAATATATTATATTATATTATATTATATTATATTATATTATATTATATTATATTATATTATATTATATTATACTATATTATATTATATTATATTATATTAAATACAATATAATATAATACAATATTCTATTATATTATAATTTTAATAATATTACATTATATCATATATATTAATATAATATTATTGATTATAATATAATATATCATTATATATAATATATATTGTATAATATATCGATATATAATATATTATATTTTTATATATCATATATTATATATTTATATATTATTATATTATATTATATTATATTATATTATATTATATTATATCATATCATATCATATCATATCATATCATATCGTATTATATTTATTCTAAATTATTAAAAAATATATAAATTAGCCTTCTAAGAACATGGAGTCAGACTCATCCATTCCCTTCCTTCAACAGAAGGGAACAGAACAGAACCTCCCACCGTGTCCCTGCTGTCCTCACCTGCTGGGGGGGCTGAATGTAGCCCTGGGGCTGCAGCACCGGCTGGGGGGGGGCTGTGTGGCCCGAGGCAGAGTAGCTGGAGGTGGGGATGGGCTGCCCAGGGCTGGCCATGATGAATCCTGGCTGCTGAGGGTGCTGGGAGATGAGCGACGACTGGAACATGGCCGAGGAAGGATCCGGAGCTTCCGTGGAGCCCTGGCGGCTGAGGCTGATCTGCCCGAAGGGGCTGCTGAGCTCGTCGGCCTGGAGCAGGGAGGAGGAGGAGGGAGGAGGATGGAGGAGGACGGCACGTGGGACACAGCCCTGCTGGTAAATGCAGACCCCTTCTCCCTGCTCTGGGAGAAACCCCCCCCAAAAAAGGCCCCCCACACATGAGGCACAGAGCCAGAGCAGGACAGGGGGACATGCGAGCTGAGGGGGACAAATGCTCAGTAGATGTTGGGGTCCCACGCAGGCAGGGGTGACTCCAGCCCAGCTGCCACATCCCGTGGGGGACACCACGCCCAAAAGATCCCAACAAAAGGGCTTGGCTGAGCCCACAGGGCAACCATGGACCCCAAACCCCAGCACGGAGCACAAGCATTGCTGGGAGCTCTGGGCTTGCAATTTGCTCTTCCCAGGCTTCTTCCAAGGCCACAACTCCAGCAGTGGTGGCCCCATGGCCTCACGCATCTGCTGGGGAGCTCTGGGCTTCCAATTTGCTCTTCCCAGGCTCTTTCCTAAGGCCACCAGTCCAGCAGTGGTGGTCCTGTGGCCTCAAGCATCTGCTGGGGGGCTCTGGGCTTGGATTTTGCTCTTCCCAGGCTCTTTCCAGCAGTGGTGGTCCTGTGGCCTCAAGCATCTGCTGGGGAGCTCTGGGCTTGGATTTTGCTCTTCTCAGGCTCTTCCCAAGGCCACAACTCCAGCAGTGGTGGCCCCGTGGCCTCAGGCATCTGCTGGGGAGCTCTGGGCTTGGATTTTGCTCTTCCCAGGCTCTTCCCAAGGCCACCAGTCCAGCACTGGTGGTCTCGTGGCCTCAGGCATCTGCTGGGGAGGTCTGGGCTTGCAATTTGCTCTTCCCAAGGCCACCAGTCCAGCAGTGGTGGTCTGGTGACTTCACGCATCTGCTGGGGAGCTCTGGGCTTGCAATTTGCTCTTCCCAAGCTCCTTCAAAGGCCACCAGTCCAGCAGTGGTGGTCTGGTGACTTCACGCATCTGCTGGGGAGCTCTGGGCTTGCAATTTGCTCTTCCCAGGCTCCTTCCAAGGCCACAACTCCAGCAGTGGTGGCCACGTGGCCCCAGGCATTGCCGGGGAGCTCTGGGCTTGCAATTTGCTCTTTCCAAGGCCACAACTCCAGAGTAGTAGTCCTGAGGCCTCAAGCATCTGCTGGGGAGCTCTGGGCTTGCAATTTGCTCTTCCCAGGCTCTTTCCTAAGGCCACCAGTCCAGCAGTGGTGGCCACGTGGCCTCAGGCATTGCTGGGGAGCTCTGGGTTTGGAATTTGCTCTTCCCAGGTTATTCCCAAGGCCACAACTCCAGCAGTGGTGGCCACGTGGCCTCAGGCATTGCTGGGGAGCTCTGGGCTTGCAATTTGCTCTTCCCAAGCTCCTTCAAAGGCCACCAGTCCAGCAGTGGTGGTCTCGTGGCCTCAAGCATCTGCTCTGGGCTTAGAATTTGTTATTCCCAGGCTCTTCCCAGTCCAGCAGTGGTGGCCCCATGGCCTCAGGCTTCTGCTGGGGAGCTCTGGGCTTGCAATTTGCTCTTCCCAAGGCCACAACTCAAGCAGTGGTGGCCCCATGGCCTCAGGCTTCTGCTGGGGAGCTCTGGGTTTGGAATTTGCTCTTCCCAGGTTATTCCCAAGGCCACAACTCCAGCAGTGGTGGCCACGTGGCCTCAGGCATTGCTGGGGAGCTCTGGGCTTGGAATTTGCTCTTTCCAAGGTCACAACTCCAGAGTAGTAGTCCTGTGGCCTCAAGCATCTGCTGGGGAGCTCTGGGCTTGCAATTTGCTCTTCCCAGGCTCTTCCCAAGACCACAACTCCAGCAGTGGTGGCCCCATGGCCTCAAGCATCTGCTGGGGAGCTCTGGGCTTGCAATTTGCTCTTCCCAGGCTCTTCCCAAGACCACAACTCCAGCGGTGGTGGCCCTGTGGCCTCAAGCATCTGCTCTGGACTTAGAATTTGTTATTCCCAGGCTCTTTCCAGTCCAGCAGTGGTGGCCCCGTGGCCTCAGGCATTGCTGGGGAGCTCTGGGCTTGGAATTTGCTCTTCCCAGGCTCTTTCCAAGACCACAACTCCAGCGGTGGTGGCCCCGTGGCCTCAGGCATGGCAGAGCTCCGTGAACCCCAACCCCAGGGCTGGGTTTTTTGGGACATACCTGATCAGCACAAGCTCACACAACACAAACACAGCACAGAGCACAACAGACAGTGCAGAAGAGGAACTGGGGTTTGTACCAGGCTGTACTGCTGGGGTGGAGAGACTGGCAAGAGGACTTGGGGGCAGGAGCTTGGAGAGTACGGAACGGGCTGCAGCGCTGGGACCGGCTACGACCAGCAGAGAGGGATGGAGAGAGCAGGGGAAGGGGGCAGGAAAGGAGAGGAAAAGGGAGGAAAAAGGAGGAGGAAAAGGGAGGAAAAGGGAGGAGAAGGGAGGAGGAAAAGGGAGGAAAAGGAAGGAATGGAGAGAGAGCAGGGGAAGGGGGGGAACAACAAGGTTAGTCAAGTGAGCCAACTGCAAACACAGAGGGCGTTGCAGGGAGTTGGGGAGCACAGAAACCATTCCAGGGCAGCATCCATCCCATCAGGCACAGCCAGAGGCTCTGAGGAGCTGGGGAGGGGTGACGGCCCCACAGCAGCTCCTGCCTGGCAGGAAAAGTGACATCAGGGCAGGCAGCAGCAGAGCCACGTCTCTCAGCACTGCCCTCGTGTCTCTCCTGTTTCCAGCATTCCCTGCAGTGCTCCTTGGCCACTCCTGCACACTCACCTTGGCAGGGACCCCTGCTTTGTCACCTGGAGCACTTTGAGCAGCCCCTCACTAAAATCCACACCCCGTGCTTTGGGCACCAATGGTCAGTGCTGGATGATTTGATTTAATCTTTGGTGACATGAACATGGGCATGGTGCATTTCCAGAGCCTTCACCAACACTCAAACAACCTGAAATCAGTTTTTCCAGGCCCTAAACCCTTGGATGAGACAGCAGAAGATCCAAACTGAAACCACAACACAACCCAGTGATCCTGCATGAGATCCCACCCAGGGACTCTGCTATTCCAGCTCCAGCTCATTCCTTGAGGCTCAGAATCCTCCAAAAAACGATCCACAACCCTGGAGCCCCTCCAGGGCCCCAGAACTCCCAGCTCCTCCTTCTCCTACAGCTGGGAACAGCCAGCAAGGAGCTGCTCCTGTTACCTGCACTCAAAGCTTTCCCAGGAGGTTCTTCCCTCCTCTCAGTCCTAGTGAAAACATGAGAAGCATGGACAGCCCAGCTTGGAAGGGACCTCAGAACACCTGGTCCAACTTTCCATGGGAAAGGGAGCCTTGGGGTGATTATCCAGCACCCTGTTGCATTTTGAAGCCCTCCAGTGTAACTCCAGCAGCTCTTTGCTGCAGGGTGAGTCCAAGGTGGTGCCAGAGGATCCCCAGAGAGCCCCTGAGCAGGATGAGATCCAGCCCCAGTGTGGTGGCACAGGGAGGTGCCAGGGATAGCCCCACACCACAGGAATTTGCCCCCCAAACCCCACAGTGGGATGGTTCCCACCTCATCCCCACTCCTGCAGCAGGACTGGGCTGGGCTGGGGGTGGGCACAGCCTCAGGAGCAGAATAAATGCACAGAAATGTCACCCATGGGTGCTTCCTGGAGGGTGCCAGCCCTGGGAGCAGGGCTGTGGGAAAAGGGAGGAAAAGGAAGGAATGGAGAGAGAGCAGGGGAAGGGGGGAGGAAAGGAGAGGAAAAGGAAGGAGGAAAAGGGAGGAAAAGGGAGGAAAAAGAAGAAGGAAAAGGGAGGAGGAAAAGGGAGGAAAAGGAAGAAGGAAAAGAGAAAGAGGAAGGAAGGAAAAGGAAGGGCAGGGAGGAAGGAAAATGAAACATTGGGGCTGGTTCTGAGGGGAACAAATTCCAGTTTTTCACTCATCCAAGGGCTCCAGATCCTTTTCCAGGGATGCTGCCGGCCCAGCAGAGCTGGGAATTCTGTGGGATATCCCACAGAACCCCTCAGGCACAGCACAGCCCAACCTTCTCCTGCTCTGCCCCAGGTGTGAGCCCAGAGCACCCAGAGCATCAAAGAAATTTTTATCATAAAAGAGAGAGAGGCAGGAAATGAAAATTCACAGAGTTCTCAAAATCTTACAGAGATAGTGGATGAAGGTACAGACATGGAGGAAGGTTTTGAATTAGGACCTTGGAACAGGAGAGACTTTTCTGAGCAATGAATCATAATTGCTATCAGATATAACTCATGCCCTTTGAACAGACTGGACTTTCACAGCATTAAAATTGCTGTGTTGTGAAAAATGTGTGTTAAAAATTAGTTCTCAAAGTCTTACAGAGATAGTGGATGAAGGTACAGACATGGAGGAAGGTTTTGAATTAGGACCTTGGAACAGGAGAGATTTTTTGAGCAATGAATCATAATTTTTATCAGATATTACTCATGCCCTTTGAACAGACTGGACTTTCACAGCATTAAAATTGCTGTGTTGTGAAAAATGTGTGTTAAAAATTCATATTACATGATTGGCTCTTTGCAAATATTAAAATGAATACTGTGTTATGTTGTATTAATTTTGTAGTACTGTATTAATCCTTTAAAATTAGTGTCATAAATATAGTTTTTAAGCTACAGCATAATATTAAAATAGAAACTATGTAAGATACTTTTTGTAACTAGCTCAAGAAATGGGTAAGATAACCAAGAAATTCTTCACACAGAGATAACAACAAACAGACACCAAGATCCCAAAAGAAGAATTATTGCCTCCTTATCAGGAAGAACCAGATTCCTTCCAGACTTCTAGGAGGCAAATAAATCAATTTACAAATGGGGAGGGGGCAGAAATTAAGCAGAAGATGTCCTTTGTTTGAAAAGAAAGTTTGCATTATGTGTAGGATATATGAATATTCAACAGGTTATTGCTTTTAAGGGTTAATCCTTTGTTAGCCAGCCATGATTTCTGGGGGCTTAGTGCCCAGGAAGTGTCCATAATTCTTTGCTTTTATTGTCCTAACTCTGATTGTACAAATTCTTATTGGTCTAATTTTTATTCCTATTTTTAGAACTATTTTATTACTATTAAACTTTTAAAATATCAACACAAGTGATTGGCGTTTTTCACACCTAGCAATACTTAATGCCAGCAAAAAAACAGAATTACTGCTCCAGCAAAAAATCTGAACTACTTTCAGCTTTTTTTTAGCTGAAAGTAATTAAAAAATTAGACAAACTTTGAGTTGTGATCTAAATCTCTCCTGCTTAAATTAAAGGAAATTGGAGGAAAAGGAAGAAGGAAAAGGGAGGAAAAGAAAAAGGGAGGAAAAGGAAGAAAGAAAGGGGAAGAAAAGGAAGAAGGAAAGGGAGGAAAAGGAAGAAAAAAAGGGAGAAAAAGGAAAAAAGAAAAAAAGGGAGAAAGAGGAGGAAGGAAAAGGGAGGAAAGAAGGAGGCACCAAACCTGGAACAGAGAGAGAGGCACAGAGGGCTGGGACCCAGGAGAAAAGGGCAGGGCACGGATATGAGAATTTATGGATCATGTTAAGAAAACCAAGTTAAGCAAGTAATAAAAAATAAACAGATATATCCTAGTAAAGGTATAAAATTCCCCCCAAAAAGTGCCCCGTGGGACTCACCTGGGACATCATGGGGCTGCTCATGGCCGGCTGCTGCTGGGCTGGGGGCAGCCCGGGGGGCTGCGGGGCCGTGCAGGGCAGGAGGCCACGGCTGGCCTGGGAGGATGGGGACTGGCTGCAGGACTCAGGGGCACCCAGCACCAAGCCTGCAACACAGAAACGGGCACACAGGGCTGGGATCCAGGAGAGAAGAGGAGGGAACCCATAGGATGCATCTGCAGAATGGTGAACGATTGCAATATTGTATTGTATTGTATTGTACTGTATTGCATTGCATTGTATTGTATTGTACTGTATTGTATTGTATTGTACTGTATTGTATTGTATTGTATTGTATTGTACTGTATTGTATTAAGGACTCAGGGGCACCAAATCTGGAACAGAGAAACAGGCACACAGGGCTGGGAACCAGGAGAAAAGGGGAGGGCACCCATAGGATGCATCTGACTGCATTAATTCAGAATGGTGAACGATTGCAATATTGTATTGTGTTGTATTGCATTGGGGATGGTGAGTTCTGAAGAAGTTGGTGATGAACCATGTGGCACAACCAGACTGCACAGCCACGCCAGGGTACCGAGGTCCAGGTGCCACCCATGTCCTGTTTGAACCACAGCATCACAAACCCTAGTTCCCCAACCCTAAACCTGTCTGCCAGGTGCCCTTTGGCAGAGAAAGAGCTCCAGTTCCCCAACACTAAATCTGTCAGTCCTGGTGACAGACTAGGCAAGAGCTCCAGTTCCCCAACCCCAAATCTGTCAGTCCTGGTGACAGACTAGAGACAATCAGGTGTTCTTCACCAGGGAAATAGCTCCAGTTTCCTAACCCTAAACCTGTCTGCCAGGTATCCTTTGTCAGGTAAAGAGCTCAATTTCCCCAGCCCAAATCAGGGTGCCAGGTGCCCTTTGGCAGGTAAAGAGTTTCAGTTCCTCAACACTAAATCTGTCAGTCCTGGTGACAGACTAGACACCATGAAGACAGTCAGGTGTCCTTTGGCAGGTAAAGAGCTCCATTTCCCAGCCCAGATCACTGTGCCAGGTGCCCTTTGGCAGGTAAAGAGCTCCATTTCCCAGCCCAGATCACTGTGCCAGGTGCCCTTTGGCAGGTAAAGAGCTCCATTTCCCAGCCCAGATCACTGTGCCAGGTGCCCTTTGGCACCTGCCTGGCACCAGCAGCCCGTACCTGCCCGTGAGGCCCTGCTGGCCGTGCTGCCCTTGCTGCTCCCGATGCTGTCCCCCCGGGTGAGGATGGAGATGCCACTGAAGCTGCTGGCTTTGGTGACAGGTGGCCTCAGGCTGCGGATGGAGCCGTCCGAGTCCGTGCTGCTCCAGGGCCGCGGCTCCAGGGATTTGATCTCGCTCTCGGTGCTGCTCTGGCGGCTGCCCGAGGCCCGGCTCAGCCCCTCCCTGTTGCCCCTGCAGAGAGCAGAGGAGTCAAACTGGGCTCCAGGGAAGGGACAGTGGCAGAGCTGCTGGTGCTGCACCAGTACAGCCAGGGTAGATCTCTTCCCCAGCCTGGAACAGACCCCAGCAGGGTCACAAAAAAACCTCTTCCCCAGCTGGGTCACAAAAAGATCTCTTCTCCAGCCTGGAAGAGACCCCAGCAAGGTCAGAAAAAGATCTCCTGGAACAGACCCCAGCAGGGTCACAAAAAGATCTCTTCCTCAGCCTGGAACAGACCCCAGCAAGGTCAGAAAAAAAAATATCTCCTCCCCAGCTGGGTCAGAAAAAGATCTCCTCCCCAGCCTGGAAGACACCACAGCATGGTCACAAAAAGATCTCCTGGAAGAGACCCCAGCAAGGTCAGAAAAAGATGGAGCCGTCCGAGTCCGTGCTGCTCCAGGGCCGCGGCTCCAGGGATTTGATCTCGCTCTCGGTGCTGCTCTGGCGGCTGCCCGAGGCCCGGCTCAGCCCCTCCCTGTTGCCCCTGCAGAGAGCAGAGGAGTCAAACTGGGCTCCAGGGAAGGGACAGTGGCAGAGCTGCTGGTGCTGCACCAGTACAGCCAGGGTAGATCTCTTCCCCAGCCTAGAACAGACCCCAGCAGGGTCAGGAAAAGATCTGGAACAGACCCCAGCAGGGTCAGGAAAAGATCTCTTCCCCAGCCTGGAACAGACCCCAGCAGGGTCAGGAAAAGATCTCTTCCCCAGCCTGGAACAGACCCCAGCACGGTCACAAAAAAACCTCTTCCCCAGCTGGGTCACAAAAAGATCTCTTCTCCAGCCTGGAAGAGACCCCAGCAAGGTCAGAAAAAGATCTCCTTGAAGAGACCTCAGCAGGGTCACAAAAAGATCTCCCCAGCCTGGAACAGACCCCAACAGGGTCACAAAAAGATCTCTTCTCCAGCCTGGAACCGACCCCAGCATGGTCAGAAAAAAAAGATCTCTTTCCCAGCTGGGTTAGAAAAAGATCTCCTCCCCAGCCTGGAAGAGACCTCAGCAAGGTCACAAAAAAATCTCTTCCCCAACCTGGAACAGACCCCAGCAGGCTCAGCCCCTCCCTGTTGCCCCTGCAGAGAGCAGAGGAGTCAAACTGGGCTCCAGGGAAGGGACAGTGGCAGAGCTGCTGGAGGTGCTGAAGACCTTCTCATCTCAGAACAGGGAGTTTTTTAAGGCCTGGAGACAAGGCTGATGGAGATCCTGGAGACCACTTCCTGCTGAGGATTTCTGCCCAGCTGGGCCTGTTTGCCCAAAGCTGTGGCTGCCCCATCCCTGCAAGTGTCCAAGGCCAGCCTGGAAGGGGCTTGGAGCAATCTGGGAGAGTGGAAGGTGTCTCTGCCCAAGGCAGGGAGGTGGAAAGGGATGAGTTCTAAAGTCCCCTACCACCCAAACCCAAACTCCAGGATTCTGGGATGTTGCTGCTCCCAGAGCTGTGCCCTCACCGACCACCCTGCCTCAGCCCAGGCCACAGCAGGACTTTTTGGGATGTCCCTAAGCAGTGAGCCTGCTCCACCAGCCCAGCTGGGAATGGCTTTCCCTGGGGAGGGATGGAGAGGAAGAGCTGCTGAGCACAAAAAGAGGCTTGGAAGGAGCTGCTGAGGTGATGCCCTGGGGTTCTGGCAGCAGGTGAGAGCCAGAAATGCATCTCTTGGAAAGCAGAACAAAGGTTATTGAGCTCAAAATGGTGCTGAGGCTCTCCCCTCTCTCATCCAGGGCAACCCCAAAGCAGATTGGGCCTGGGAACCACAGCCAGGGAAGCTCCCACAGCTGCAGCTGCATCTGCAACAAGGTTTTTGTTCCATTTTTGGGGAGTTTTACTCCACCCCACAGATCTGAGACCTGTCCTTGCTGTCCTGAATGCAGGCAGACCCCAGGACACAGCCCCTGTGACTGCATTTTCCAGTCCTGACTGCATTTTCAGATCCTCCTGTCCTGTCCCACACAGAGCTGCAGCATCTCCAGAGCTTTTGGGAGAGCACAGCACAGCAGGGATGAGGCTGTGTCCCTTTTCACCCTCTTCTTTGTCCCCAAACCTCAGGGCCAGGTGACTCAGCCTCACTCCAGCCCTTTCATCCACGGGAAAACTGCTTAACAAGAAAATGCTGCTCAAACATGTTCCCAGTGCCCTCAGCAGCTCGGCTGGAGCCTGAGACACTTCACTGTCACTCTTAAGTCACCCTGAGTTGATAATCAGGGATTAGGGACAACCCTGCCTGATCCTAATGCTATCCTGGCACTGTAAGGGCAGGGATTTCCCATCCTTTTGGGGAATGGTTTGAAAACTGCTGGAATTCCTCCCTGCTGGAATTGCTCCCATTCCCACCCTCCTTTTTAATTGATGAATCAGCCAAAAAAGGACTCAAAATTGAAAGAAAACACCTTCAAGCAGCTGTGCATGGGGGGATTCAGCACAAAGAAATCCCCACAAATCTGCCCCTGTCTGTGAGAGCTACAAGCAAAGCATTCTGTGGAGAGTGTGACGAGGGAAAAGCAGCTTTTTGGAGCCATGCAGGGCTTTGGTGACACTGCCAGGGGCTGCAGGGCAGCACTCACCTGCTGTCTGTGAGGTATCCGTTCTGGCCAGACTGGGAGCAGGAACGTGGAGATGGGGAGGAAAGGAAAAGGACACTTAGAAACTGTGAAAAAACAAAGCCAGGGGATTCCAAAGGGTGGGGCTGGCACACAGAGTGTGCTGAGGTGTGGTGCTGAGGCTCCTGCACTCCAGCTCCCTGTGGGTCTCCATCCAGGCCCTTTCCTGATCCCTGAGATCTCTCAAATCTGAGTTTTCAGCTCCCTCCTCCACTGAGGCAGCTTTGATGGTACCTCTGTCCATGTGACAACCAAGGCCAGGCATAAAAAGGGGGTTTTATGACCTAAATGCAGCATTTGGAGCATTTGGGAAGGCCCAAATTCCTCCTGGGAATGCCCAAATTCCTCCTGGGAATACCAAATTCCTCCTGGAAGGACTAAATTCCCCCTGCCAATGCCCAAATCCCTCCTGGGAATACCAAATTCCTCCTGGAAGGACTAAATTCCCCCTGCCAATGCCCAAATCCCTCCTGGGAATACCAAATTCCTCCTGCAAGGACTAAATTCCTCCTGCCAATGCACAAATTCCTCCTGGGAATGCCCAATTCCTCCTGCTAATGCCCAAATTCCTCCTGGGAATGCCCAAATTCCTCCTGGGAATACCAAATTCCTCCTGGAAGGACTAAATTCCCCCTGCCAATGCCCAAATCCCTCCTGGGAATACCAAAATCCTCCTGGGAATACCAAATTCCTCCTGCAAGGACTAAATTCCTCCTGCCAATGCACAAATTCCTCCTGGGAATGCCCAATTCCTCCTGCTAATGCCCAAATTCCTCCTGGGAATGCCCAAATCCCTTCTAGGAAGGCCTAAATTCCTCCTTGGAAGGATGAAATTCCTCCTGGGAATGCCCAAATTCCTCCTGGAAAGGCAGAGCCCTGCACTGCTGGGTCAGGAGGTGGAAGCTGCAGCAAGAAGAAACTGGGAGATGCAGCTGCTGCTTCCTTTGGGGCAGGAAATGGTTTTCTGATCACTCCAAAAATGCTCCTGCATAAAGTTATAATCTTTTGGGCAGCAAGGAGCAGGACTGCATCCATTCCTCCCTGAAATTTTAGGGAAGGAGCAGACTGGAGGCTGCAGGTGTGGCTCCTCCACCCCCAGAACCTCAAACATCTTTGTTGGCAGCTGGAATACACTGCCACATCCCCAAAATTCTGGGAAATTGGTAGGAAATGCAACAAGATCTGACCTCTTGGCATATTCAAGGCCACTTTCTGGCCCAAATCTCCAGGAGGATCCTGGCAGGGGGGTGGTTGATCCAAACTTACCTCTCGTGCAAATATCCGCTCCCTGACCCGCTGATATTCCTCCTCTCGCTCTTCTATGGATTTGCTCCTTCTCCCATCCTGCAAGGGGAGTCTGATCTGAAGGGACAAACACAGCTCAGGGGTCAGCAGTTGCCAGCAGGAGCAGTCAGCTGCTGCCAGTTTTGGGTGGCATGTGGATTAGGTGGCTTTTGCTTCTGGACCTACCTTGGAGACACCTGAGGGCAGGGATGAACCTGCCAGAAGTGCCAGGATATTCCTGGATATTCCCAAGCACAACCACCCTGCCTCAGCTCTGCCTGAGCTCTGCCTCAGCTCTGCCTGAGCCACAGATCAGGAAAATCACCCTGCTCCCAGGGGGAAAAGCTAAAAGTCACTCTTTGGAGCAGGTGCCAACGCTCCTTCTGCCTCGTGGATTCTGTGCTGCAGCCCTGAGTGCCACCAAAGGGAACCCAAAAACTGGGATTGACTGCAATGAGCAGCTTCTATCCTGAATTAAATTCAGAAAAAGGTCCCACAGCACAGGGGGTGATGTGATTCTTGGTTTAGATGGGGAAATCTCCTCCCTGGGAGGGTGGGCAGGCCCTGGCACAGGGTGCCCACAGAAGCTGTGGTTGCCCCATCCCTGAAGTGCCCAAGGGCAGGTTGAACAGGGCTTGGGGCAACTTGGGAGGGTGGAAAGTGTCCCAGGGTGGAACTGGATGAGCTTTAAGGTCTTTTCCAACCCCAACCATTCCATGTTTCCATGAAGGCGGGAGCTACAAGACCCTGAGATCCCTGGGGAAGGGCAGGACTTGCTGCAAGCCCCAGCAAGAGAGAGGGAAAAGCAACACTCAGCTGAGGGCCTGAGTGTTGAAAACTGCTGGAATTCCTCCCTGCTGGAATTGCTCCCATTCCCACCCTCCTTTTTAATTGATGAATCAGCCAAAAAAGGATTCAAAATTCATGTTGCAAAGAAAACACCTCCAGTAACTCAGCATTCAGCAGAGATTCAGAATGACATGGCATGAAATAAATCACACAGAAATCCCCACAAATCTGCCTCTGTCTGTGAGAGCTAAAAGCAAAGCATTCAGCTGAGGGATATTCCCAAAGAAACCTTGGCAAAAGGCTCCACCTTAAAACCTGGCCTAGCCCCCAGCTGGTTTTAGGGTATGGAGAAGTACAGCCATAAAACCCACAGCAATTCTTCATCCATTCCCATAATATTTAGAAAACCTTTCATGAAATTCAGATGCTGCTGCCTGGGTGAGGTTGGAGCTTCTATTAAATGAAACAGGAGAATTTTGGAGCTGTTCTTGTCTTGTGACCAGGCAAATCTGACTGTGCCAAAGGCTGCAGGTGCCCCCTGCCACCCCTCACCTGGTTATCATCCCGATCCATGCTGGTGTCATCTCGTTTCAGGATGAACCTCTGAGGGAATTCTGCGTTCTTCTCGTCCTTGATGTGCTCAGAGAACCTCTGCTCGGGGCTGCAAGGAAACCAGCCCTTGTCAGGAGGGAAAAACAGGCCCAAGGTGTTTGCTGGGTGAGATTTCAGCTCTGGCTGATGGCAACGAGAGCTCCTGTCCCTGCTCCAGGAACGATGGAGAGGCAGGGAGGGCTGGGAGGAAAAGATTCTCCTTCCCTGTGCCTTCATTCCATGATTCTGATTGTTCTAGAGAGGGATTTCCCCTTCTTGTGAGGCAAAAAAAAGGAAAAAAAATGGTGTGGAACCCATCCTGCTAGAGAGCATTGCTGGGCTGTGGGGAAGGGGAAAAGGGGAAGGGGAAAAAGAAGGGGAAGGAAAAAGGGGAAAGGAAAAAGGGGAAAGGAAAAAGGGAAAGGGGAAGAGGAAGGAAAGGGAAAAGGTAAAAGGGAAGGGGAAGGAGAAGAAGAAAGGGAAGCAAAAAAGAAAGAAGGGGAAGAAAAAGGGAAAGGGAAAAAAAGAAGGGAAAGGGGAAAGAAAATGGAAAAAGGGAAAGGTAAAAGGAGAAGGGAAAGAGACAAAAGAAGAAGGGGAAGAAGAGGAAGGGGAGGGAAAAATGGGAAAGGAAAAAGAGAGAGGGGAGGATGAAGGAAAAGGAAAAAGAGAAAGGGGAAGAGAAAGAAGAAGGGAAAGGGAAAGGGAAAAGGAAGAAGAGGAAGAAGGGGAAAAAGAAGGGAAAGGCAAAAGGGTAAAGGGAAAGGGGAAAGGGGAAAGGGGAAAGGGGAAAGGGGAAAGGAGAATGAAAAAGGGGAAAGGAAAAAGAGAGAGGGGAAGATGAAGGAAAAGGAATAAGGGAAAAGGGAAGAGAAAGAAAAAGGGAAAGGGAAAAGGGAAAAGGAAGGAGAAGAAGAAAGGGAAGAAGAAGAGGAAGAAGGGGAAGAAGAAAAAGGGACAAGGGGAAAGGGGAAAGAAGGGGAAGAGGCAGAAGAAGAAGAAGGGGAAGAAGAAGGAAAAAGGGGAAAGGAAAAAGAGAAAGGGGAAGAGGAAGGGAAAGAAGAAGGGAAAGGAAAAGGGAAAAGGGAAGAAGAGGAGGAAGAAGGGGAAGAAGAAGGGGAAGGGAAAGGGCAAGGAAAAGGAAAAAGGGAAGCAGAAGGAGCTTACATCCGTGTGTTACTGGTCTTGTTGATGATGACAGCCTTCCCAGTCTGGTCCACGTTGTGATCCATCCCGAAATACGCCGCCACGCGGTGCAGCAGCATCCGGTGGTACGAGGTCATCTGGGGGAACTTCTTGAACTGATTGCTGGGGACAGGGGACAGGGTTGGAGCTCCAGCTGGTGGCAGGATGTCCAGGAGAACAGCCTCCTCACCCTGCTCCCCTGGGAGCACAAATTCCTCAATCTCCACTAAAAACTTCCTTTGCTTGACACAAACTTGGTGATCACTTACTTGTTGTCACTGATGAACTCCAGAATCTCCTGTTCCAACTTGAGCAGCATCATTCTATCCCTGTCAGGAAAAAAAAAAGACAGAAAAAGTCACTTTAGGGACAGTGGAACTGCCTTCCCTGCTGCCAAGCCCTGTCCTGCAGCAGAATAAGTCACAGGAGGAGGTGACCCCTGATTTCACAGAGAATGGGCTAAAAAACTCCCTGCTTTTCAAATATACTACACTGAGCAGCAGATTTTTTTCCAGTTTGTTTTGCTAATGATGCTTGGCTTTGGAAAGCCTGAATCTCTGCTCTGCTGGAAGCTCCACTGCTGCAGGCTCCAACTTTGCTATTCCCTTGCCAGCCTTTCCCTCAATCCCAGTGATTATTCCCACAGCAGCTCCTTCCCAGGCTGACACTTGAAATCCATTTCTAGAAAAGGATTTAAAGCAATCAAAAGTATTTCTTTGCATTCAGACAAATTATTTGTCCTTCTCTCTTCACATCACACACACAATTCCACATTTGGAATTGAACAGGATATAAAATTACAGTTGTGCTTTTAGTTTTTACATTGTCCCAGCTCTGGTAACTCTTGGAATTCCAAAGAGGAAAACACAAAAATATTTGCAGGTGCTGCAATCCCTCAGGATGCAGGAATGCCCACACACAGAGCCCTCAGGGAGTTCTTTTACTGCCCATGACCTACCGTGGGTTTTTTTTCAGTGTATTTACTAAAAATTCATGCAAATCTATTCCAGTGGAGTCTGTATATTCCTGGCTGGAATCTGAAAAAAAAACAACAATGGCAGCAGAACAAATTAACAAACAACTGAGACTGGACAGAGGGAAGGGAAAAGAGGAAGAGAAGCAAAAGGGGAAAAGAAAGGAAAAAAAGGAGGGAAGGAAAAAGAGGAAAAGAAGAAAAAGGGGAAAAGAAAGGAAAAAAGGGGGAAAGGAAAAATGGGGAAAGAAGAAAAAGGGAAAGGGGGAAAGAGGAGAGGAGGAAAGGAAAGGAAAGGAAAGGAAAGGAAAGGAAAGGAAAGGAAAGGAAAGGAAAGGAAAGGAAAGGAAAGGAAAGGAAAGGAAAGGAAAGGAAAGGGCTGTCTCTGAGTGCACGAGGATGAAAAGGAAAGGAAAGGAAAGGAAAGGAAAGGAAAGGAAAGGAAAGGAAAGGAAAGGAAAGGAAAGGAAAGGAAAGGAAAAAGGGGGAAAGGAAAAATGGGGAAAGAAGAAAAAGGGAAAGGGGGAAAGAGGAGAGGAGGAAAGGAAAGGAAAGGAAAGGAAAGGAAAGGAAAGGAAAGGAAAGGAAAGGGCTGTCTCTGAGTGCACGAGGATGACATTCCCACATTTCCCAGTCTAACCCAGGATTAAGGAGCCTTTTCCCAGGACAGCAGGACCAGCACAAGGCACTCCAAGGGCCCTTAGGAGGCTGACAGAGACAGGGAGCTGGGGTGGGTTCCTGGAACGACACCCCGGTCCCAAAACCACCCCTGGGACCACGCTCTGGACACTCCCAGCAGGTCCTGGCAGATGTGTATTCCACACTTTGGTCCAAGCAATTTCTGCCTTACAATCCTTAAATCCTGCAGGCTCTGGGAATCCCTGGGATGGGATGGGATGGGATGGGATGGGATGGGATGGGATGGGATGGGATGGGATGGGATCCGATGGAATCCCTGCCATGGAATGGGATGGGATTTATGGGATGGGATGCCTGGGATGGGATTGATGGGATGGGATCCCTGGGATGGGATGAGATCCCTGCCATGGAATGGGATGGGATCCCTGGGATGGGATTTATGGGATGGGATGCCTGGGATGGGATTTATGGGATGGGATCCCTGGGATGGGATGGGATTGATGGGATGGGATCCCTGGGATGGGATGGGTGTGGGTCAACCTGAAGAGAAGAACCCAGGAGACCTCTCCAGTGTCTCAGTTTGTTTTTTTTTGTACTAATAAATATTTTATCTATTAAATAAACTATTTTTCCACTTTTCTCAAAAAAATAAAAAACCTTTTCCCAAACCAATTAAAAAAACCCCCCACTTATATTTACTTTACTTAAAAAAAAATCCTTTAAAAATTTTTCTCCCAAAATTACCCTAAACCAAAACAAAAACAATTTCTGGGGACTCCAGGAGAGCTGGAGAGAGACTTGGGACAAGGGATGGAGGGACAGAACAAGAGGGAATGGCTTCCCACTGCCAGAGGGCAGGGATAAATGGGATTATGGGAAGAAATCCTCCCCTGTGAGGGTGGGCAGGCCCTGGAATGGATTTCCCAGTTTGCCCCTGGATCCCTGGCAGTGCCCAGCTTTAGGGGCACCCTGGCACACTGGGAGGTGTCCCTGCATGGCAGGGGTGGCACTGGGTGGATTTGAAGGTCATTCCCCACCCAAAAAGGACTCCCTGATGTCACCAACCCCAAAACCCTGCACAGCAGCAGCAGCAGAGCCACCCAAGCTCCTGCCCCACCTTCCAGAAGGTTCCCAGGGCAGGTGAGCAGCACCTGCCCCGTTCAAAGCAGCACCTGACCTCGAGAGAGCATCTTCCTCGGAGTTTTCTCTTTGTTCTTGTCTTTTTCTTCTTTCTCCACCCCATCTTTGGTGGATTTCTCCTCCTCCTTGTCAGAGGGGCAGCTCACGTGCAGCTGGATGATGTCCTGGGGTGGAACAAAGGAGGTTGGAGTCCCTCAGACATTCCCTGAGCCCAGCAAGGTCTCAGCCAGCTCTTGTGGGGATTTTTTGGCTCCCCAAGGCAGGCATGGATCATTTTTAGCAAAATTAAGATTTCCTGGGCTTCCACACTCCCAAATTTGTCACATCCTGGGCCTACCTGAGACTCCAGCAGCCCGTCCACGAAGGGGCCTGAGGATTCCTCACACACAGCCAAACTCCTGACCAGTTTAAGCTTTGAGTTAGACTGAAAAAGGTAAAAAAAAATAAAAATAAGGGAGTGGTTACAACACCTCAGCTAAAACTCACGCTTGAATTCCTGCAGCTGCATTCCTGGTGCAGCCATTTCCAATTAAATTCCCAATTAAACTGCCCAATAAGAGGGATATTCCCCTCAATACATAATATAATATAATATAATATAATATAATATAATATAATATAATATAATATAATATAATTAATATAATATAATTAATATAATATAATTATAATATAATATAATATAATATAATATAATATAACAATATATAATATAATATAATATAATATAATATAATATAATAATTGGAATCCCTGAGTAATGAGTTCTTTTATTTTTTCAGCCTTTAAGGCAAATTTTAGGTGGGAAATTCCCTGCTTTAATTCACTTCCAGACAGAGCAATCCCATCCTTTATCCTGTCAGGAAGGAGCACGCGGAAATCCCTGTCCTGAAGCTTTTGCAGGGACAGGAAAGGCTGAGGAGCAGCTCCCTGAGGCTGGCATCAGGAATTAGGACAGCCCAAAGGAAATTGGGGTGGCAGCTCAGCTCCTACCTTGGCTCTCTTCCTGGCGTGGCCGTGACTCGATGTTCGCTTCTGTGGGGAGAGAAAAGGGAAAGAAACTCAGCCTGGGGGTTCTCTGCCACTCCTGGCCACAAAAAGGGATCCTGACAGAGGTGCTGCTGCTTCGGTGGCACTTTTATGTTTTCTGAAAAATCCCTTTGCCCAGGATTCTTCTCCCGGGAGGCTGAGAAGCCTCAGAGAAAAAGAAAACAATTTTATCTGATTTGCTTCTCCTGTGTTTTGCTCCTTTGGAGATTTTTATCCAACAGGTGATTGTTTTACTGGTTTCGTGTGAATTATTTTGACTCTTTGGCCAATCAGGGTTAAGCTGTGTCAGACTCTGGAGAGAAAGTCTGAAGTTCTCATTATTATCTTATAATATGTGATATAATATAATATATAAAGTATAATATAAAATATCATATCATATCATAAAATAATAAATTAGCCTTCTGAGAACCTGGAGTCCACTTCATCATTCCTCCCTTCACCCGGGAACCCCACAAACACACCCCCCGTCTGGCCGTGCAGCTGGGAGCACATCTGGCAGCTGTGCCCGCCACAGCTGGAACGGCAGCAGCAGCCAGCAGGCAGCTGAGGGTGGGAGCTGCTCCAGGCTCCACAGGAGCCACGAGCTCAGGTGGCAGGAGGGCAGAGCAGCAGGAGTGAGTCCCAGCAGCCCCAGATGATTCTTGCACTGAGATTTTTTTGCATTTCTTGAAATGAAATCCCAAAACATTCCCGTCCTATTTTTAACCGAAGCAACAGCCAAGCAGCATTCCTGAAGCCAAGCCCTCCCTGGGTGCCTTCCCTTGACACGAAGTCATTCACTCATCCTCAGATCACAGAAAGGAGCCAGAGGGAGGTGACAGCCCTGGCACCAGAGCCTGGCCACAGAGCCCCAGTGTCCCCCAGGGAGTATTTCAGTTATTCCACTCCCAGCTCAGGGAATATTTCACTCTGAGATCCAGCTGGAGAGGAAGGGAGCAGCGTGCAGAGCGTGGTGTCCCTGTGGGGAAGGGGACACAAGCTCTGGGTGCTTTGGGGAGCAGCAGGTGAGGCCCAGCTCCCCCTGCCCACACTCACCTGAGACTCCTGGCGCACGCCGACCTCCTCCCCCCCATCCTTCTCCACCTCCTCCTTGCTTGGTGACCTGGACACGTATTTGGTTTTGTTCACAGATTCCTCAACCACCTTTTTTTCTGATTCCTTCATAATTTCCAGGGACTCCTGTGCCGTGTTGCTGTTGGACATCTTCAGAGCCCTGCGACGCGGCGACGGGCACCTGCAGGACAAGGGGCAGCTCAGGGGCTGCACGCAGCTTCTCTCTGCACACAAACTCTCCCACACACGGCCTGGAATTTCCTTGGAGCCCACCCTGTGCCCACAGATGCCAAACCAAGCCCTGGCATCAAGCCTGCCCACCCTGGGTGCAGCCCCAGCTCGAGGGCGCCTGGCAGGAGCTCCGTGGTTCCCACCAGGATTTTGGAGGCACCTCACAAAGTCCCTGAGGTAGAACTGAGGTCCTGAGGCAGGTGAGTGATGGAGACAGAGACACTGAGGGCAGCTCTAAACCAGCAAACATCACACAAGTGAAATAAATTCCACCAACCAGAGCTGGGCTCTGCCCCAGGGGCAAACCACCACCAAAAATCTGAATTTTCCCCAAATCCCAGCCCAGTTCTTTTTGTAATCAGTCAAATCTTCAGCCTTGTACTCCAAACAGGCTCAGTGAGATAAGGTAACCCTGATATCTCCTCCTGGTCAGGCACTTCAGGACAAGTGGGACTCAAATTACACATTAAGACAGAAGTTCCTGATAAAGTTGCATTTAATTGCTTCCCTTTGATTAGCAAGAAGCAAGCAGCCCCTGGATTAGAGAGGAGCCTGGACAGGGCAGCACCTGTGCTGAGAGCCTCAAACTCATCAAATTAAGTGTTAATTATCCAAAATGATCATCTGGAATCAAAACATCAGCCCTGCCCTGAGAGCTCACCAGGAACTGGAGTGCCAGGACCCAGGGAATGGCTCCCACTGCCAGAGGGCAGGGTTAGGTGGGATGTTGGGAAGAAATTCCTCCTTGTGAGGGTGGTGAGGCCCTGCAATGGATTTCCAGAGCAGCTGTGGCTGCCCTGGATCCCTGGCAGTGCCCAAGGCCAGGCTGGAAGGGGCTTGGAGCAGCCTGGGATAATGGGATTGTGATGGGGGGGACTGGGATGAGCTTTAAGGTCCCTCCCAACCCAAATCATGCCAGGATTTTATGATTCCAGAGCAGGTCTCAGAGTCTGAGCAAGGACTAAACCAGCTCCACGTGGATGTGGCACCAGGAAACACCTCTGGAGAGACAAATTTCCAAAAAGGGGAACCAAAATCAGAGTGAGGCTCACACAAAACCCCTCGTAGCAGAGAACATCTGTTGAACAACTCATTTTCAATTTCTTTGGCAGAACGTGGCTGAAACAGAGAACTCACAGAGATTTATCAACTCCTGACTGCACAGAACAGCTGATATTCCTGGAGTATTCCCCTTTAATTTGTGGAGCTGCTGAACACAAAATGTGCATTTGACATTTATGCAGTTACTGGAATTGGTTCCAGGCACAGAAAGCAGGAGAGTGCAGTGAACTGCCTCCATTCCATGGATTCTTCCGTGGAATTTATTAAAATTTGATAAGACATGGTGGGGGCAGGAGGGAAAATGCCAGATCCAGTGGGACAGGACTGGCACCGGGAGGCAGCTTGGCCACCTCAGCTTCCTGCTCACCTGGATTTTGGAGGCTCAAAAAGGCTTTCACTCACCTGAGTGAGGCTGCTGCCACTCCAGAGCCACACATGGGGCAAAGAGGAAAGGGAAAAGCACCTTGATATTTCCTTGGGTGGGAAATATCCCAGAAAATTCAGGGGGAAAAAGGTGCAAGCATCCATTTTCCAGCTGCAGGGGCCTGTCCTCACCCCAGCAGGCTGAGATCCAGGGTGAGGAGCCCCCCACGAGGGAATCCCACGCTGCTCCAGCAGGAATTAGGTCAGGAAGGGAAAAGGGAACGCTTTGCCTGCTGTGTCTCATTTGTGGGAGGATTCTGCAGGGGGTGAAGGTGGTAAACTCTGCCTCCTCCCACCCCAAAACACTTCACACTGGAGGAAACTGCTCCAGGCTCATGGCCAGGCCGGGGGTTTAAACATTGCAGGAGGATCTGGAGCAGATTTGGGGAAGGGAAGGGAGGAGGCAGCAGCGGAACTGCCTCAAAAAAAGGAGCAGGTTTTGTACAGCTCATTCCCTTTGCACCACCCACCCTCTAACAAGGTTTTCCCCCCAAGCCAAACACCTCAGCCACATTTAAGGAGGATAACAGCATCTTTTCCTGTCGTGCTGCAACGTAACTTCAGCATCACACAGGGAAGATGATCAGATTTCCCAGAAAAGACAACTCAGAGCCACAGAAGTGACATTTATCAGCTGCCCCCTCCTGTTGCAGCTTCCCTCCCCGCCAGGCAGCCTCCAGGACATTTCCCTGCGTGCAGAACTCGGGGAAGATCTGGGAGCTGCTGCTTTCCAGAGGAGGATTCCTTGCAGGATGAATGAATCAGCCCCAGCTCCCTGGGGCAGCCGTGGGACGAGGAGAGGGGGTGGCAGACACGAGTGACGGTGACAGACGGGGTTTGGGGAGAGGCTCTGCAAGTTCAGAGCGCCCAGGAAGGGTGGGTGGCACTGAGCTGGGCCTTGGGAGAGAGGAAATAAAAAAATGACACAGATGCAGCAGAAAAATCTGTGTCAGGAAGGAAGATGGAGCAAAGGTGGAAGGGAGGAGGTGGGGGAGGTGTTTTGGTTTGGGGATGGGCATTGGGAAAGCGACTGGGCCAGTGGCAAACTGGGAGTGCTGGCCAAGGAGCCAGGACACTTTTAAATCCTCCTCCTCCTCGCTCCAGAGAGGAAGATGGAATTCCACCTCTGCTGCCTCCTTGCCACCTGCAGTTTGCAGCTGTGAGCCCCAGGAATGGAACAGCAGCTCCTGGTTGGGCTGGGAATTCAAGCAAGGAAAGTTCTGCACTTCCAGTTCAGATGGATCTGGCAGCAGATCTGGGGAAGGCAGGAAGCTCCTGCTCCATCAACGCTTTTCCTGGCCTTGTTTCTCAGGGAACAGAGCTGCTCCTGAGCTAAAAGAGGGTGCAAAGGAGACAGATGGCTGCAGCGGCCCACACACAGCTCGGGTGCTGCAGCGGGATGGAGGGGCCTCAGGGGGGATGGAGGGGTCTGAGGGGGAGATGGAGGGGTCTGAGGGGGAGATGGAGGGGTCTGAGGGGGAGATGGAGGGGTCTGAGGTGCCTCAGGCTCTCCCTCTCAGGTTTCAGAGCAGGAACACGGGGATTCCTCCCAAGCACCAACACACACCACCCTGAGGATGGACACCTGCCCTTCCAGACAGGAGCTTAGGCTGCCTCTGAATCTCCTTTCCTCCAGGCTGAGCACCCCCGGCTCCCTCAGCCATTCCTCACAGGGTTTGTGCCCCCAGCCCCTCACAGGTTTGTGTTCCAGCCCCTCACAGGGTTTGGGTTCCAGCCCCTAACAGGGTTTGGGTTCCAGCCCCTCACAGGGTTTGTGCCCCCAGCCCCTCACAGGGTTTGTGTTCCAGCCCCTCACAGGGTTTGTGCCCCCAGCCCCTCACAGGGTTTGAATTTCCAACCCTTCACAGGGTTTGAGCTCCAGCCCCTCACAGGGTTTTAATTTCCAGCCCCTCACAGGGTTTGGGTTCCAGCCCCTCACAGGGTTTGTGTTCCAGCCCCTCACAGGGTTTGTGCCCCCAGCCCCTCACAGGGTTTGGGTTCCAGCCCCTCACAGGGTTTGGGTTCCAGCCCCTCACAGGGTTTGGGTTCCAGCCCCTCACAGGGTTTGGGTTCCAGCCCCTCACAGGGTTTGGGTTCCAGCCCCTCACAGGGTTTGGGTTCCCAGCCCCTCTCCAGCCTCGCCGCCCCCTCTGGACGTGCTGAACCCCAAACCACCCCACAATTTCCCCATCGTCCCCCCCTGCTCTCTTTGGGGGCAGCAGCACCCACCTCCCACCTCCCGCTGGGTCCCAGTGATGCTCCGGCCAGCAATTCGCTGATTGGCTGCCCGGCAGCCAATGGGAAGCCGAGCTCCATGGCAACGGGGCCGTGTTGCCAGGAGCAACCGGGCGGGGGTGACTGGGGGGAAATGGGGGCGGTGGGCTGGGCAGGGGGCTCCGAGCCCAAGCACGAAGCCCCTCGGGCTCTGCCGGGGCCTGGGATTGTCCCTCCCGGGCTGGGACAATCGTGGCCATTTTGGGGCAACAAGAGGCCGGATGGCTGTGAGGGAAGAGATGAGAATCTCGACTCCATCTTTCAGAAAGCTGATTTATTATATTATGATATATATTTGTGAGGGAAGAGATGAGAATTTTGACTCCATCTTTCAGAAAGCTGATTTATTATATTATGATATATATTATATTAAAATTCTGTATTAAAACTATACCAAAAATAATATAGAAAAGGTCTATCAGAAGAATAGAAAGGACAGGAATGAGAAAATCTTGTGACGCTCAGAATCAGCTGACGGTGATTGGCCATTAATTAGAAACAACCAATCACAGAGGCACCTGTTGCATTCCAGGGCAGCAATAATTATTGTTTACATTTCTTTCCGGAGGTTCCTCAGCTTCTCAGGAGAAAAATCCTGGCAAAAGGATTTTTCAGACAATATCATGGCTACAGTGTGGATGTGATAAAAGGTCCTGAAAGGAACTCAGGAAAAACAGCACTGCAGCAACCCGGGACAGGTTTCAGTGTGATATTTAATGAAAAATCCCTTCACCGGGATTTTTCTCCTGAAAAGCCTCAGCAAACAAATGTAAATTATATTATCTGAACGCTTCTCCTTGTGGTTTGGTGCTTTGGAATGTGGCAGGTGCATCTTTGATTGGTTCTGTGTGAATTGTTTTGACTTAATGACCAATCCCAGTCCTGTGTTGGACTCTGGTCTGTCACAGGTTGTTATTCTTCATTCTTTTCTAGCTTCTGATGGATCCTTTCTCTCTGTAGTTTAGTATAGTTTTAGTATATAATTTCATATGATATTATATTATATTATTGATATGATATAATATTATATCATATAATATCATACAGTAATATAATGTCATATAATTTCATATAATAGAATTTCATTTCTATTATATCATATCATATCATATTATATTAATATATTTCATAATATATTATATATAATATATTATGAAATATATTAATATAATATGATATGATATGATATAA